GTTGCAGCATTGTCATGAGACTTAAACGCTAGGCAATGTAAACCCCATATCATGTGCCTATTAATAAGCGCTCATACCTCGCAGCCATGAATGTACTGTTCAGGGTTGTTTTTCACTTTCGCATTGCACATCCAATCTACTTTGAAGTCCTGTGTTCTGTCCCTGTGTTGCTCCATTTATCCCATCCTTAGAGGAACAGCTTCAGTCCATGGCCTTCAATGATTTTTCGTTCATTTGTTAGATTCTCCTCTCAGGCTCTCCACCCAGGCTGTCACTCTTGCTGTGGCCAAAAGTGGGAGGAGAAACCCCCATAGCTTTCCCTAAGCCTGAGTTACCCCAAGAGCAGCTCAGGGTATCCAGGTGCCCCCTTCCCTCATCTCCTTGCCCCACACCACACCTGTCTGCTTCCTGAGACAGTTGTTCCCTCCCCAAGTCTCCGTCCCCAAGGCTCCCTCTCCATGTAGATTCCCTATCCCTGACTGTTCTGTGTCCTAATAAACTCCTTGCCTGGGGCTCCCTCCTGCCCTGCAACAGCTCCTGACATCTTCCTTCCTCTGCAAAATCTTATCTCTTTAATCAAAAGAGATCAGCAACTCTGGAGTGACTTCCCTGCTCTCATCTTCTCTCATCTTGTCCCTCTTGAGGACCCTGCTTGACCCCACCCCACAACAAAATCTGTAGTCCAGTTTCCAAATCATGACCACTTGGTGAAGCCCTATGTCCACAAAGTTCACCTGAGTTGGATTAAATACTGCTCCCTGAAATTCAGATAGCTCCATGCAGTGACCTCAAGTGATGCTTGCATTTGGGGGAGGTCCATGATTTTCACATGCATCTTTCACAAACCTTCATCAGCTAGCACTGCAAGATCCCAGGTCACACTGGTCATGGTCCACCTGTGACACCATACACTTTGTACAACACAGAGCACTGAAGAGTATCAGCAAACCTTAGATAGAGCCAGGATTCTGATCCAGAGCAAGCTTTTAACTACAGTTTTTAGCTCCTTTGATCCTTCCTTCCCTCTCTCCCACCTGCGTACATGACGGGATTCCAAAATAAATCGAACATAGCTGCTTTTTTTCTGAGAAGCTCCTACTTGGTAGAAGAGGGCTGCACTTAGCCCAATAATTGTCATATAATCTAAGAAGTTCCAGACTTCTTAAAGTAGGAGACTCCAAGGTGCTATGAGATCCTAGGAGGAAGCTCTTCACTTTGCCTAGGGTGGGAAGGAGAGATTGCAGGTGCATCTTGAGCCATGACTGGAAGAAAAAGTAGGAACTGGGCAGGTGGAGAAGTGAGGAGAGGGAAGCCCAGCAGAAGAACTGGCATGTTCAAAGGCAAGGAGGTGTATTTTCTATATGAAGAAAACAAATCTCAGGTTGCCTAAGGAGGGGAAGAGAATGGCAAGGCCTAAGGATGTGCAGAGAGGGTGAATAGACAGAACCGTGCAATTCTTTATATGAGTTTGGAGAGGATGAGTAGAGTTAGGATGACTCTCAAGTTTCTGCCTTTGGCAAGAAGTGATTGGAATGGTCATCTTTTCTACATTTGGGAATGATGGAGGAGGACCAGGCTTGAGGAAGGACACAAAAAGTCTAGCTGCATGCGCATTGAGTTTGGACACATACTGGGAGCTGCTGGAAATGCCTGACCTCAGCATCTGGACCTCCCTGGACCGAGTGGCCATCTCCTGAGTAACTCGAGGGTATGTCCTTCCTAGTTGCACCCGGAAGGAGCGGTGTGAGCGGTCCAAGGAGCCCCGCAGGTTTGCCTCAGAGATGAAGCAGTGTGTCCGGCTGACGGTCCATCCCAACAATATCTCCGTCTCTCAGTACAACGTGCTGGTAAGAGTTATGGGGGTTGGGGTAGGGTCCAGGGATGCAAGGAAAACTCTCTCCTACCAAAAAGTGCCTTAGCCCAAGGCCTCTCTGGAGGACTGGGCCAAGCCTGGCCAGCAGAAGCAGCTTGAGAGAAGGGTGCAGGATATCAAAGAATTAAGTGTCCATGGGGGGATGCAAGAAGGGGACAGGGACAGTACTATTGGGGAAGAGACTCTATTCATAAAGAGTAGAAAGGCAGGGAGCACCAGCACCAAAAATGATCAAAGGTGACAAAAGGTGTTGGGAATGATATCTTCAACTATAAAATGGGAAAGATGCATGTAGAGAGAGAGAAAGGTGCACAGGTGACTTCCAAGTTCTAGCACTGGGCACTTGGTGTTTGGTGTTTCTGTTTTTCCAAAATAGGGCCTAATGGAAGAGGTGCTCCATCAGCCACACCTCAGTCCTGTCCGATGTTCTCTTGCCACGAAAATCCCCTAAGCATTCTTGTTTCCTGGGGCCAAATCCATTTAGATCCTAATGAGGTTTCTTTTGTCTCTGTCTCTTTGCATCTCACCACGGCCTCTGTGCTGCTCTCCTAATAACTTGAGTCTCTTCTCCATGTTAATATTGCCTCTTTCCTTTCTTTGCTTTGCCTGTGATCTCTCTCGCTCTCCCACTTTCTTTTTTTATTCCATACCTGTCCTTTTCCCATTTCACCCTCCTCCTTCTCTTCCCCTGCCTGGCTGTTCACAGCTGGTCCTGGAGACTTACAATGTCCCGGAGCTGTCAGCTGGCGTCAACTGCACCTTTGAGGACCTGTCAGAGATGGATGGGCTGGTGGTGGGCAATCAGATCCAGTGCTACTCCCCTGCAGCCAAGGAGGTGCCCCGGATCATCACAGAGAATGGTGAGCATCCCGGAGGCACAGCTGAGTAGCACGTCTTCCTCCTGGCTGGATGATAACTCAAGACAGATGTGGGGGGATTGAGGGAGCCTACAGGCAGGGGAGGGTCAGAGGAAGGGGCATGGGTTGGTGGGTGTGTTATGGGAAGAGGGGGATGAAATCTCCCTCTGCTGTGCTTGGCATTGACTGTTACAGCCCTTAGATCCTAGGAGGAAGCTCTTCACTTTGCCTAGGGTGGGAAGGAGAGATTGCAGGTGCATCTTGAGCCATGACTGGAAGAAAAAGTAGGAACTGGGCAGGGGGAGAAGTGAGGAGAGGGAAGCCCAGCAGAAGAACTGGCATGTTCAAAGGCAAGGAGGTGTATTTTCTATATGAAGAAAACAAATCTCAGGTTGCCCAAGGAGGGGAAGAGAATGGCAAGGCCTAAGGATGTGCAGAGAGGGTGAATAGACAGAACCGTGCAATTCTTTATATGAGTTTGGAGAGGATGAGTAGAGTTAGGATGACTCTCAAGTTTCTGCCTTTGGCAAGAAGTGATTGGAATGGTCATCTTTTCTACATTTGGGAATGATGGAGGAGGACCAGGCTTGAGGAAGGACACCAAAAGTCTAGCTGCATGCGCATTGAGTTTGGACACATACTGGGAGCTGCTGGAAATGCCTGACCTCAGCATCTGGACCTCCCTGGACCGAGTGGCCATCTCCTGAGTAACTCGAGGGTATGTCCTTCCTAGTTGCACCCGGAAGGAGCGGTGTGAGCGGTCCAAGGAGCCCCGCAGGTTTGCCTCAGAGATGAAGCAGTGTGTCCGGCTGACGGTCCATCCCAACAATATCTCCGTCTCTCAGTACAACGTGCTGGTAAGAGTTATGGGGGTTGGGGTAGGGTCCAGGGATGCAAGGAAAACTCTCTCCTACCAAAAAGTGCCTTAGCCCAAGGCCTCTCTGGAGGACTGGGCCAAGCCTGGCCAGCAGAAGCAGCTTGAGAGAAGGGTGCAGGATATCAAAGAATTAAGTGTCCATGGGGGGATGCAAGAAGGGGACAGGGACAGTACTATTGGGGAAGAGACTCTATTCATAAAGAGTAGAAAGGCAGGGAGCACCAGCACCAAAAATGATCAAAGGTGACAAAAGGTGTTGGGAATGATATCTTCAACTATAAAATGGGAAAGATGCATGTAGAGAGAGAGAAAGGTGCACAGGTGACTTCCAAGTTCTAGCACTGGGCACTTGGTGTTTGGTGTTTCTGTTTTTCCAAAATAGGGCCTAATGGAAGAGGTGCTCCATCAGCCACACCTCAGTCCTGTCCGATGTTCTCTTGCCACGAAAATCCCCTAAGCATTCTTGTTTCCTGGGGCCAAATCCATTTAGATCCTAATGAGGTTTCTTTTGTCTCTGTCTCTTTGCATCTCACCACGGCCTCTGTGCTGCTCTCCTAATAACTTGAGTCTCTTCTCCATGTTAATATTGCCTCTTTCCTTTCTTTGCTTTGCCTGTGATCTCTCTCGCTCTCCCACTTTCTTTTTTTATTCCATACCTGTCCTTTTCCCATTTCACCCTCCTCCTTCTCTTCCCCTGCCTGGCTGTTCACAGCTGGTCCTGGAGACTTACAATGTCCCGGAGCTGTCAGCTGGCGTCAACTGCACCTTTGAGGACCTGTCAGAGATGGATGGGCTGGTGGTGGGCAATCAGATCCAGTGCTACTCCCCTGCAGCCAAGGAGGTGCCCCGGATCATCACAGAGAATGGTGAGCATCCCGGAGGCACAGCTGAGTAGCACGTCTTCCTCCTGGCTGGATGATAACTCAGGACAGATGTGGGGGGATTGAGGGAGCCTACAGGCAGGGGAGGGTCAGAGGAAGGGGCATGGGTTGGTGGGTGTGTTATGGGAAGAGGGGGATGAAATCTCCCTCTGCTGTCCTTGGCATTGACTGTTACAGCCCTTCCGTCTCAGCTCTAGGTTAGCCCCCAAGAGTCACCCTCATCCTGGGCAAGGAGCAGCTGCAGAGAGGGTGGGGAGGGGCAGGCCAGGACAGCGGTTAAGTTCAACCTGCTCCACTGGCTTGGCAGGTCAGTGGAGGAGGCCACTGAGCAGGTGCAGGGATGCTCACATGGCCGGTCTCTGACCCTGGACCACTGCCTTCCCCATTCTGCCCTCCCAGGTCTCCCCAGAGCTTCCTGTTATTGGGAGCAAGCTGCCCTGGGAAAGACAGCAGTGGGCAGAGGCTCCATGCTGGTGAGGGACAGGCCCAGCCTGGGCAGATTGATTCCATGTTGTCCCTCCCATTTGGGCTTGTCACATTTGTTCGGAGCTGATTGATTAATGAGGCTCTCAGGGAAGGCAAAGAACAAGGCTTGAAGTGGGGGCCTAAGGTCAGGGTTGTGAATTAAACATGGGCTGCAGCTCCTCCCTGGCGCCAGCTGAGGATTCCAGGGTCTCCCACCCCGGTGGAGCCCTGAGCGCCCCCAGAGGAGGTAGTGTCAGAACAGGGGCTGTCTTTACAGAGATGGAGAATGAGCTCATGCATACACACACATACATGCAAAACCTCTTATGCAGTTTGTGGCAGCATTCCTAGAAGTCTACATATGTGTTTCTTCTGGTTATGAATCAATTTTGTGAGTCTGGCCAGGATATCATGCATGTGAATGCACATTTGAATTCCTGGCAGTGTGCATCTGTATGTGTACACGTGGAAGAGGGGAAGTGATATGGTGGGCAGGGAGAACAGACTAGAACTGCCCTCTGCAGCTGCTCTCAGGGTTATCCTGGGACTGGGTCTGCTGGGTCAGAGCCCTGTTAAGCCAACAGCACCCTGGGGAGCAGGCTCCCTTTTCCAGCATGTGTCACTGGTCAGGGAATCCTTGGCTTGGGGCCTCAGCATTCCCCGACCCCTCAGCCATCTCTCCTCGTAGGGGACCACCATGTCGTACAGCTGCAGCTCAAGTCAAAGGAGACTGGCATGACCTTCGCCAGCACCAGCTTTGTCTTCTACAATTGCAGCGTCCACAATTCGTAAGTGGCCCCTGCCTTACCCCACTTCCTGTTCCTGGGGTCA